GTGACTTTATTTAAGATTTATGACTTTCATAAAAAAATAATTATAAGTTAGTAATTTTTAACAATTGATAATTTATCGCTGTAGGGTAAATATTATTGCTTTTACAACTGCAAGGCTTGAACTGAAATTGATTGATTTTTATTTATGTAGTTGCTGTAGTTTTTTGTTTGTATCAAAATTTACGAACCTTGACAGGAAGATTACTTAAACTAACACGCAAACGCTTTTCATTCAAGGCGTTGCAAGTAAGTACACACAAAGTGTTGCCAGCATTGCTAGCTATGTATGTACACCACATATTTGCGAACTCATTGAAAAGGCGACAAAATCCAAAACAAAAACAAAAAGAAGGAAATTTGAAAACTGTGTCGAAGTGATATTTGTCGAGTACAAGGACATCAGCAACATTGACACTTAAGTAACAAATGTCAATTTTAGTGTGCAATCGGCAATAGTCAAGTTAAGCTGAAACGAGCAAATACCCGTCAAACGGGCCGATTGCTGAGATTTCAAGAGATTGCTGTCAAGGATAAAAAGGCGAGATGATTGAAAATATAAAGTTTTCGTGCACGCACGCTCACATAAATAAAGCGATGTGAAGCGAAGGACGCAGCAGGCTTAGCGATTAAGGCACCATTTTTTTTTTCGTAAGATTTGCTATTTTCATTTGCTACAAATAAAAGAAATTGTATGCACTGCTACTGAATAAAATTTCGAATTTCCCATAACTTTTAAGTCAAGTGCTTTATTTTTGTGTTTGTAGTTTTTCAAATTTTATTTCACTGCTTTGCGCAGTCAAATTTGTTTGTTGCCCAAAATGTGCCAACAAACAAACTACAATGTTTATCAATTTAAATTCTCGCAAACACGAATGAAGCGTAAAAGGTTCTTAGCAATTTTTCCCTTAGTTATTTTTTATTGAAGTTGTTTTTGTTTTTTGTTTTTTTTCCTTTGTAGCGCGTTAAGCTGTAGTTACGTACATACATATAAACTGTAAAGGCGCATTCAAGTCGTAGTAGTCGCCTGTGTTGTTGACTTCGTCAAGTGTAGTCGATAAGCAAATAAAAATCTTCAAGCAATCACAGCAGTCGTTATGTCAAGGCAATCTTTGCTTATTGTACTATGTAGCCTTTGAGTGTTGTTGTTCTTGTTGTTGTTGTTCTTATTATTGTCGCCAGCAGCGCAATGTTGTTCATTTTATCGATACGGCAACTCAACAAGCGTGTGCTACTAGAAAATTCACTCGATTGCCGGGTTATATCAAGATGGGGGCGAAGCAACTTGTGTGTGTGCGTGTGTGTGTGAGGGGCCTAAAAACGTTTTTTTTCGTTGTGGATTTCCGTTTTACAGTCATTTGATCGCTGCTTTCTATTTGCTTGTATGTTTGTTTTTAGTGTGTGTATGTGTGTATGTATGTATGTTGCTGCCTTTGCCGTTCTTGTCTTGTCGAAATCATCTGAATTGTCAATAAAGTAATGCTGCCTTCGGGAGCAATTTTTATTTGATATGCTTTCGTTAAATTGTTGTCATTTCCTCTGCCATTAGTTTCAAGTACGTGTGTGTGTGTGCGTGTGTGTATGTGTGTTTAGGTATAAGGATGCGCTGAGATGCTTATTGGTGTTTTTTCAAGGTTTTTGATTTTTCGGATGCTATTTTTTAACACAAATATTTCCTGCTATTGATTTCTGCATTTTAGTTGAAAATATAATGATTTCTATACGCAATTACTGCCGCGACTTTAATAAAATAAATTTAAGCAATATTTGACTTAAAGAAAATTAAAGCTATTTTTAGTTTTTGAAACCAAAAATTAAGCAAATTCTTGAATCGCTCACTCGAAGGTATATTTTCATAGACTCCTATCTAGAGTTCGGAAACAATCGATAGCACTGTCGGCACACTATCGATGGTTTCAGACTATCGTATTGACTACCGAATCGGTAGTACCGATGGTTTAAAGAAAGTGCAAAAGTGTCAGAAAAAATTCGAAAATGGACGCTGACTAAATTCTCATTCGATTTTGTTATGGTTTATGCGATAGCAGGGATTTATATGATCTTATTATTGATGGACCAAAGAAATCTTTTTAAAATACGAACACCGATTAGTGACAAGGATATCAACTATCCTGGATCGGCGCATTTAACAGGATGGGCTCCTTTTCAAGCTAAATCAGCCAGCACTCCCAAAGGAATGGAGGACGAAGTACAGCAGATTTGTGTATGTAAATGCAGCGAAAATTGTTTATTGGGGAAAACTTGTACTCATATCTATGCTGGTAGGAATATCAATTGTCACTTGATTCTAACCTAACCTAGTACACCCATGGCCCATAATATATCTGCATTGCGCGGCGCAAGAATCAAGTGTAGTATTAAGGATTTCAATTACCAAAAATAAATTTTCTTCCTCACCGAGCTTTCCATTTCGCGTACTTTTGCTCTAATAACTCTCTTAATTTTCTAAACTTGAGCTCATTATAAGCTGAGACCACCGTCAGTTCTCCATCTGCCACTCAGCTGATATCAACTGAAATAATACTAATGATGCCTTCAGTAATGTTATAAATGAGTGCTAAAACGAGTTGTAGATTAAAGAGTTCAGACCTTGACTGACTCTTTGTTTTTTGACCATTATTAAATATACTTCTGTCTTTATCTCTCTACCGGCAATTTTTGCTTTGTTTTATAGTATTTTACATCTTGCGACCATCAAAGTGCTGTAAGATCATCCGAACGTACATACAAAAGTTCACTTAGTCCGCGGAAGTTGGTTCTTTTTGATACCACCGCGAGTGGTAACTGCTAAGCTAGAGAGAGAATCGACGAGTGCCGAGAACGAAGTCTCGCAGACGGCCAATCTTTATCCCGGAGAGCTTTACCGGACTTGTTAGAGAGTGCCTAGGCCGCAATGTAGAAAGAGCTAGGGAGTTTAGGGGGGAAATTTGACCGCACTGGATGAACCCTGATAGTGCAATACCCTATCAGTATACCCAATAGAATAGAAAGATACGGCTTCGCGAGCATGAGCAGATCTCTAGACCGACCCCGGTTCCCCCTCGACCAGAAAGACCACGCCGAAGCACAAATATAGAGGAAGAAAGATTAAAATAAAGGTAATTATAGAAAAAAAGATATAGATGGAGACACAAAGACTCAATCTAGGTACTATTTTGGGATTTTAGAGACTTTCGGGTTTCTTGGGACTTACCGATATAATAATCGATATTTTTATCGGTTTTGTTATCGATATTTTTACTGATTTTATTATCGGTATTTTTATAGTTTTGTTATCGATTTTGCTGTCATGTTTTCGGAAAATATTGATTTAATAATCGATATTTTTATAGATTTTGTTATCGATATTTTTGTCGATTTTGTTACCGGTTTTGTAATCGATATTTTTAACGAAATGTTTTATCGATATTGTTATTGGGTTTGTTATCTATATTGTTATCGATTATTATGAATTTTTTATCGATTTTGTTATCGGTATTCTTATCGGTTTTCTAATCGATTTTGCTACCTATGTTATTATCGGTTTTGCTATCGCAATTTTTATAGAATTTTTCATAAATTTTGTTATCAATATTTTTGTCGGTTTTGTTATCGATATTTTGTTGGATGTTACAATCGATTTTGTTATCGATAGAGCATAAAGATAAAAATGAAGATAAAGGAAAACAAAGTAATATAAATGTTATTAGAACGAACAGGGGTAGAGGTAGAGATCTAGATAAAAAAAAGACAAAAAATATAACGTAAGCAAAAGCAGATGTACACATGTATGTATGTGTGCATATTAGTTATGAGAAAAATTAGATATGTAACGTAAGTTTCACTTCTCCGGCGCACTTACTTTTTTTTATCACTTTCGTTTCACGTTGTGATAAAGAAGTACATTTTAAAGCTTATAATCCAGCTCTCCAGAAAAATCACAAGAAATATTTTTCATTATTTCTGTAGCTTGAAAAGGCACTTTGCTTTGGCTGTAAAATTTCTTGAAGAAATAAATATATGTACGAGCATTTTTTGCTTGAAAGCTGCAAACTGATTTAAGAAGAAAATTTCTTTTCCATTTCTTGTGCGTCATTTTGTATGAACGTTTAATTTTTATTGAGAGCTGAAAACAGCCCTTAAACGAAAAAACTTTTTTTGGCAATGGCTGCATTATCAAGTTTTCTTGTTTTCTAACAGATGTCTTTACTTATTTTTGGGTTGAAGTTAGATTTGTTTAAATAAAAGTAAGGTGAACTTTGGAACAGTTATTCCTTAATAGGCTACTCATTTAAGTTTTCTCACGTCACAGGTTAAGGATTGATTGTGCTGACGCGGAGGTTAAAATTAATTTAAAAACGCGTATTCACAAAATCGTTTCACGCTATATTAGAAACGGGCGTTATAGGGTTAAGTATTATTATTTTAAATAAATTTTTATATTGTCACATTTGCATGTGCAAGAATTCCTATCAAATGAAAAATTCTCAAAAGAAAAAAAAAATCACTCATTAAAGCACATTCAGGTCCATTCGCTAACAATAAAATATGCTGAAATGCATATAAAGCTAATTTTTGTAAATTGTCATTGTTTTTCTTTAGCAAAAAATTGTATTACATTTAATTGCGTGTAGTGCTTTATTAATGGAGAGAAAGAAAAAATTCAAGCAGGTGTTTCCAGCATAAATGTCAGCAAAAAAAAAAAACTCATAATAACCAAACTTGGTTGTACTACAAAAACGGCAAACAAAAAAATTATTTCATAACATAGACGCCGAAATGGCATAAATGTGTAACTGTGTCACATACATATGTATTGTTGTTTTATTTTATTTTTTTTTGTGGCACACTTCTCTTATTTCTACGTAAAAGTTTTTGTCTACAATTTCTGGTAAAATACTTTTTCCCCACTTTGGCAAAAAAAAACAAAAAAAAAAAAAAACACAAAAATACACAAATGCTGAAATGTATGTATGTACGTAATATACCAACACGCACACTTACCGCAATATATTGCCAACCCTTGTTGACGCGCACCAGCAGCGCTTCCTCTTCCGTGATGTAAGCCAATGTGCCTGGTGGATTCATGGCTGATTTCTAAAGTGACGAAAAAAGAAGAATAAAATATTTTATTCGTTGGCATATATGTATGTAGGTGCATATGTTGAATATAGAGCATACATATGCGTTTGTTGATTTTTTCTGCATATGGAAGTAGGTACTCGGTACATCTGTCGCTCGGATAAGTAATGAACACGCAAGCAAGCATAAAAATAATTTACAATCATAGGCACGTTTTAATTACACAGACTGATAGTTCCAAAAATATGTAAATGGAAACTGTTAGTTAATAAAAAAACTAGTTCGCTCTAATGAGTGCATGGTTTTTTTTTGTGCCTTTTTTAAAGCGCTAATATACTATTTTATGCCTTTTATACTTTCGCAATCAAAAATGAGAGCCACTGGCATAATTGAGAAATTCTTTAATTTTCGATTGTAGATGAAAAATATAAGACTCAAAGCCAGTAGAAATGTATGTCGTATATGGTCATTTTTAATTTGCGAATATGAATGTACATGTATATACATACACATATCTTTAGTAGTCGAAAAAATTTAGCTAATTGCTATTTTCTTTCAATATCTAAGGGTTTTGATTATTCTCTTTCATTTAAATTTAATTTTTAAATATGCTTGGAGAAAACCTATATATATCCAAAGCAGTCGAATTCAGTTTAGAGACAAGCCGGTTTTGGCGTTGTGTCATCTTCTGTGTCATTTTTTGTTTCGGAAAATACTATCCTATAAGGGAATGAGATTGGGGAACATTACTGTAGTAATTCAACGACCTTGGAAGATATAGAAACCAAGTGCAACAAATTCGTAAACACTATGGGATCGGCCTTTAAAGTCTCCTGGCCCGTGAGTTTCGCGCGGAAAAAATATCATCCATGGTGGGGAGAGGAGATCTCGGAACTTAGGAAAGAGCTTCGTTAAGCTTTCAACTTAAGCTATTCCACGGGCAACTGGCAGACCTATAAAGATAGCTTGAGAATTTACAAAAAGGCATTTCACAAGGCAAAACAGGAATCCTGGAGGGATTTCTGCTCCTCTATAGAATCAACGAAAGAATCCGCCAAAATGGGGAGGATCCTAACCAAGGAACACAGTAATCCCTACTTCCTAAAAAAGAAATATGGAGGATGGACCAATAGTTCTAAGGAGACATTAGAGCTCCTTCTTCGCACCTATTTTCCAGGCTGTGACCCAAATCATGTCTCAGGGGTAGATAGCAACGTAGCGGTACCATCCGCTAATGTCGTTAACGAAATTATTACGCGGGAGAAGATTGCATGGGCAATTAACAGCTTCTCTCCATACGAATCTCCGGGTCCGGACGTTGGCGGTCTTTCTGGACATATAAGGGGCGTTCAAAAACGTTAGCCTGGAGGCGATAGAGTAGTCACTCAGAAGCCTGGGCACTGAGAACTTCCTGGTAAACTGGATCTCTACCATGCTTCGTACAAGGATTGTAAACGCTAAGTTAGGCACCAGCGTAGTCATCAGTCATCCAAAACGGGGGATTCCGCAAGGCGGGGTACTGCCGCCGCTGCTGTGGCTTTGCGTACTAAACAACATTCTGCTAAGAATAAACAGAGAAAGGAAAGGAAAGTGCTTCACAGAGTGTGCTCAGGTTGAGGGAACTTGGATTTGGGAAAGAACGTACGCACGGGCATGGACGTAGCCTGTATTATTTCAACGACCCAAGCATTCGCGTAAAAACTGACTACATTTGTCCTTCGCTTTTCGTCAAGAAAAACTTCGGCACGATTTTTCCATCAAGAAATAAGTGGAGAGATTATATTTTTACTAAACGGTTCGAAGTATCAATTTTTACGGACGGTTCAAAAATGCACTGTGGCACAGGGGCGGGAATTTTTTCAACCGACCTCCAAATCGAAGAGTCTAAAAGACCACGTTATGGTTTTAGCCGACAGGCAAGTCGTTGCACACTGACCGTCGGGGCATAGCAGAATTCATGGAAACGAGATGGCCGATAAGCTGGCCAGGAATGGGTCGGCTCTCGATATCTCAGAGGCATAGAAGGTACTTGTACCTCTAAGCTATATCATGAGCCGCATCTCTCAGCACTGGTGATATTTACCCACTGTAACTTCTTAAGTTATTTATCTCCACATGCTGGATTGGAGCTATATAACCGACTTCTGCTGCTTTCTTTTCGGGCTTTCTTTTCAGGTTAAATTGCGATAGGTGGTTTTAAAACGGCACACATAAGTGCTAATTGGAGTTTTTAAACTCGCCACTTCAACCAACCAACCAGGAATGAGATTGCCTTGTAAAAGTTCTTTGATACCACAAGGGTTGGAACTGTAAACTGATTTCAGCTACTCAAGTTTATATTGAAACAAATTTTATTTAGGTATTGAGAAATTGACATTTCGCTGGCTTAAGAGAAATCAAAAATACATGGTTTCTCGTTTAGATTCAGTGAAAGGAAGATTTGCTCAGTTCAAAAGAAGCACCAAAAATCCGATAAGACCAAAATATTATGAAATATTTTAATAAAGATGGAATACCTCTGATTCGTATGATGTTTTGCTTTGCTTTAAACAGGCAAAATGTTGTTTTCAGAGTTTTGCGAAATACTCGATGAAAATGGCTTCAAGAATTTTTTTCCTTTCCTGCAAAATTTTTAAATGGGGTCTAAGCAACTTTTCACTCTAAGCCGAAGAGGGCAAGGTGTTTATGAAGTACCACCAAAGACTACGATCGATTCTTGAAAAGGAATTCATGGCGCCATAGGGCATCCTTGCTCCAGCCGCGTTCCTCCGCCACTGAGTTTGAGTATTCCATGCACGATTGGAATTTTATTTCGCCCGAACGACGACCGCTATACTATGACCCTCGGCGGGAGCGGTAGTTTCTTGCGAGGAACACAATTCTTGCCCGATGAGGCATTGAGTCAGCAAGGCACATTGACAAGAGCGTTTCTATCGATTACACACGAGGACTTTACCAGCTTAAGTTACTTCGCAGATTTCACGTCTTTCTCCACTTTTTCTGAGCTGTTAAGGGCGGACATTCACCGATACTGGTGGGTCTCTAGGGATGAGGGAACCCTCGAGGAATTACTTCCAGATAGGGAAGGTCTGGGGCTCCCCTGACCTCGTGTGATCTGCTTCTGGACTGATGGGCGTTTATCCAGCTCAGCGAGCGCTGGGCGAAGACCCTGAAATGCAAGGTGGCAAAATCCCTCTGGCCACGGTTAGACCGGAGGCGGTCTGGGGTGCCTTTACTGGTCACTATGTGACTGGAAATCATAACGTGAGGCTGAATGCCACTGATACACCTTACTGCACCAGCTGCATGGAGGACGATGAGGTGGAATTATCTCAACACCTGCTGCTCTGGAGCCCTGCCTTTGCGAGCCTAAGGTTTAGGCACCTTGGTTGGCTCTTTTTTCATACTCCCGATGAGCTCTCGGGAATGACGATTACCCGATTAAAGAGCTTCGTCGCGAGCACGGAGCGTTTCTCCTACAAAAAGTGATAGGTGTCGTCAGGGGCGCACCCAGGAATATATTTTAGAGGGGGGGGGTTTATATTTCTGAATATATGTATATCACCGGAAAATACTGAAAATTTGCTTCAGATAATACGCTCTTTAAAATACATTCATGCAAGTTTTATGTACCGTATGTAATAAATAAACAAACGTTTTAAAATCCATAAACTGCACTTTATTTACATAAGATTACCAGAACTCAAACACTTTTAACCGACTTTATAAAAAGGGGAGGTTATCAATTCGCCGGAATACATAACTTTGGACCACGTGAACCGATTTCAATAATCATTTTTTTGTAGAAAGATGGTACCTCAAGGTTCGTCCCATAATTTGTTTTAGAGATCCGATGATTGGATCATGAAGAAATTAACGGTACCCCTAAATTTGAAGTCGGTTGTGTTCTTTCCTTAAAAACTACTTCTTTAATAAAAAGTTATATAAACTCAAGATGCGCTCAACTTTTAAAAGTACCTATTAAAAAATTTTAAAAGAGTCAATAAAATAAATTTATTGATTCCATAAATTTTTGCACTTTTATGCTCATTTTTTCGATTTCCGGTTTCTGGTTTTCGATAGAGATGGTGAGTTTTCACGATTGCTAATTTTTTTTAATATTTCGAATACCGAAAAAATTAACTGAACTCTCAAGAAAAACGAAAAATTCATATAAAACGACGGACGGGAAATGGAAAATAAATTTTCTTCTACCAAAATTTCTTAATTCAGTTTGCAGCTCTCAAGAAAAAAATGCTCGTATATTTATTTCCTCATAGAAATTTACAGCAAAAGCAAAGCGCTTTTTCAGGCAACAGAAATTATAATAAATATTTCTGGGTTTTGAACCCCAGAACCCACCCCTTGTGTGCGCTAATGGGTGTCGTCATTCTCCCTTAGCTTGCCCTCGTCCCTCTTTCCCCTACCCACCCACTCTTTTTCCCTGTGTCCTTTTTCCCCTCCCCTCTAAGGGCATCACAATGGACAGCTTACTACGGAGGCTACCCGTTTACCTAACCGAACCCTAGTCAACTTTGATGACATACATGGCCTATGAAGAGTAGGCAATTGGGGACTAAATTAAGCTAACACTTTTGACCAATAATTTTTTTATGAGTTAGAGCCGCTAACTAGACACCTTCTTCTGGAAGGCTTAAGCAAAATTCATGGTTTATTTATGGAGCACAGCTTTTTATGGCGTCTTTAACAAAATTAGTGTTGCCTTCTCATTGAATTTTTCTTACAGCCAATTGCACGAAAGCAATTTAAGTGAAAAAAAATGATTTTAATTTTTTGAATTTTTAATGGAAACTGACAGAAAATTAAAAATTATTTTCCATTTAAATTGCTGGTGAATCAGCCAACTAAGAGGGCAACATTTTTTGGTAAAAAAAGAAAACCCCATTAGATTTTTAAACTCATCTTACCTTTGTCATTTCGTCGATATTCGGAAAAGTCACCGCGCCAGGTACAATTCTCATATTCCAGGAGGATGCTGAAAAGTATGGCGTTTCCTCATCGTCATGACGTGAATGGCTGGGTGGTCCTGGGGGACCAGGTGGGCCGGGTGGACCTATTGATGGTTTTTATTTTAAAGCACACGAATGTTAAACATCAACGATATGCAGGCGTCCAAAATATCCAATTGCGGCAAGTGGCAGCAGGTTGAGAGGCAAATGAATGAAAGAGATTAAAAAGTTAAAACGGAATAAAGTAATATATAATACAATTTTTGTATTATGACTTTGTGTTGAAAAGAGAAACTAATTAAAACATTTAATAAGCGAAAGACATGTTACTTTAAAGTATACAATTGTATTGGTTAAGCAGAAAGCAAGAAGAAACTTAGATCTACGATACTAGTGGAGGAAAAAAACAATGAAAATGAATTTATCTAAAGTAGCCTTAGACACAGAATAAAAACTTGCGATTTTTCAACTCTTGGTATAATATATATATATATATATATATATACTAATTATTTATATGGAAAATTTTTGTAACGATTTGGCTCAAAAAATACAAAACCGAGATAAATAATAGTCATTTTTTTAACGATGCATTTGTACGAAAAATAGACCGGCATGCTTATTTTTTTTAATATTTGGGTTTAAGTTTTGGAAAAATACAGCGATGTGCAAGCTAAGCACGGCGCATAGCGAAGCAAAAATATTGTAAACGAGTGCATATCAAATTCCAGCTCACAAACACAAAAAAGAAGTGAGTAAGTGTGCGCTTACGAAATAAGTAAAAATCCCTAATTATTTAAACGAAATAAACTCCAACTTTTTTAAAACTCTTTTTCATGGCAGAAATACTCCCGGAGTTTCGCCATTGCCTGCCGAGGGGTAACCGCTGTTAGAAATTTTAATTTTATTTTTTTATTTCTTGATGTTGGGTTTAACCGGGCTTGAACCCATGCCCTGCAGAATGCTAGTGCGCACAACTCATCACTATACCTCAGCGGCTGCCTTGAAAATCTTCTCATTAAAACCATTCGGCGTTCGGAGGCGGTTTTCACCGGATCGGTTTTTCCCAAGGAAAACCCATAATTTATCGGTATTTTGGCACTGCATGGAATAACCACTTCACCGAATGAAAATTTCAGGGACCGTAAAAGTTAAAACTTTTATAAAAAAAAATCGCTCTTTAATAGTTAATTTTTTACTTCTATTTAAATACTCCTCAAATAACAGTTATTTCTAATTTTTATTTTATAAATCCAAAATAACAATTATTTTTGGTTTTTATCTAAATATTCTGCAAATAACAGTTATTTTTGATTTTTAAATTATATGTCTTAGATAAAAGTCAGCAATAAAAATCAGTCAGTGACTTTTACTTTTAAAAGTCATCATATAAATCTGTCACCGATTTTTATTTTTAATAATAATAAAAGTCATTTGTGTAAGTCGTAGTAAACTTTTGTTCTCCAACACCTTTTAACAACGAAAAATTATACATGACTTTTATACGCCTGACTAAAGAAATAAAAGTCAGTGACTGATTTTTATTTATGACTTTTATAAATAAAGGTCCTCGATAACTTTTATCTAAGACGTATAATTTAAAAATCAAAAATAACTGTTATTTGCAGATTATTTAGGTAAAAATCAAAAATAATTGTTATTTTGGATTTATAAAATAAAAATCAAAAACAATTGTTAGTTTTTTAATTTTGCATATAAATTGCAGATAAAAGCTTATTTTAAAATTTGAGTCTTGGTGAAAAAAGAAATCGATTGGTACGTATCACTTAGTTGTAGAACATTTTCTTCATAGTGAATTTTTCAATGACAGTTTTCATCAATAACTGTTATGTTCGGTCCCTGGAAAATTTCAAAAGCCTTTATTTCGATGTTTTATTTCTCAAGATTAATTCCCAGGATTCATTCTCGTATCGATATTTTGAGCTTGGGATTGAAATCGTTGTTCTCAAAAAAAAACTAACCGTAAAGAAAGTATTAAAAGAAAAATTGTGAAGAGATTTTAATATTCTCGCGTTATGGTTGTGCTAGCTTTTCTGAAAACTGGTGCTGAATTCGTATTTATAATCGTATTTAGAGGTTTTGATTTGTAAAAAATTTTCGTCGAATTAAATGACTTTTAATATTAATTGGTGCAAGCGTATAGATTGGTTTTGTACTATAAAATAGTCTGAAACTGGGCGAGAAGGTCACGTAGTTGTTTAACTTATATTTAATTTAATTTGATTATAAGATTTTTATATTTACCTATTTATAATTAAGTTTATGATAATTTGTTTTCGTTCCCTCATTCGTGAAATATTTTCATCTGCTTTAAAACCTATCTATGCTTTCCTTTCCTATTCGCTGCCAAGAAAAGGAATACGCTGCGAAAAACAGTAGCATAAAGCAGCTGGTAGCTCTAGTGATTGTAATGGTGCTACGTCGCGGAAATGCAGCAACAACAATAATATTATTATTGAATGCAAAAAATTAAAAAACAAAGATAAACAAGAAAATGCGGAAAGAAGAAGGCGTACGGCAAAAACAAAAAATAAAAACAGAGCGCAATGCAAAAGACTGCGGCGCACAGAAGCAACGATGGCGTGGCAAAGCTGTGCATTAAAGTTGTGCCGCCGCTCCTACTGCCGCCAGAAAAGCGGTTCCGCTTGCAAATATGGCAAATGTAATTTACTCATTAATGTAATGACTTTACGATGACTGTTTGCAATTCTGATGACGCTGCGGCTACACTGAAACACTGGTAAGGATGTTGATAATGATGTTGCTAATGTTGTTGGCAATAACAAAAGCGAAGTTTAATCAAAGAGGATAATTCAAATAAACTTTGTACATTTACTTGCAATAAATTTTCGCTTTTTTTTTGCATTTAGTTCTTGAGCAAATGCATATTTTTTGCTTCTCTTCGATTGCAGTGCAGTGCATTTTGTAGACTGCAGCTATGCATTTGAAGTCTTGAACTGAGTCAAAGGACATACATACAATATGAAATCGCTGGGCCATTTTCACTTACAATATTTATTATGTGCTGTGTGAGTATAACTTTTGAATAAATAAAAACGTTGGTAGGTAATTATGCAAAACAAAACATACAGATGCTCTCACTTTTCTCAACTTTTTTGGTTTGTGAAATCACTGATAATTATTTATGCCTTTAATTGTTGCATTAAAGAACTGTTTGGTGTATATTCAGTGGAAATCAATTGTGATTTTTTAATTAAATTAAAAGGGATCATATGCTATAGTAAAATATACAGCTTATAAAAAATGTGTGAATCAAGGCTTATTTATGCACGTATTTATATGAATCAATGAGCAGATTAAGCGGAGGATACTTTATGTGCGAGTATAAACTACACTGAGCGGGTCAAAAGGAACGAAGATACCGACGAACAAACTAAAATTTTATATATAGTATTTTTTAATTTTTATTCGTTTTTTGGTTTATTTAAACTGTGTGTGTTGTACAACTCCTTTTTTTATGGTCGCACTGTTATTCGTCTTCATTTCCGCTTCTACTCTGTCTGCAGCCTTAGAATAACATTTCCACACAGCCCGATCTTCCCCCTGGAAATGAGACAATTAAGAATTTGGCTAGAGAAGTCCACCATCATTCCCATCATCGGCCATTGAAGCCACCCGCGTAATATTGTTGAGTGTTTCTCTCAGCAATGACTGTGAGCCCTCGAGGGGCCGAAGATGGAAATTCACGCACTTGCTTTCGAACATATCGTCGCTCGAATAAAGAAACAGTGTAAATGCCACATACACTATTATTCGATAATTGCACCATTGAATAGAAAATCCTTTAATCTATTAGGAAATACTTTAGTTTTCTTAAATATCTCTTTGGCTCACTAATTTATTCCCGAAAAACGAAATGGTATTTGTATGGTTTGTAATGGTTTATAAAAACTTCCAATTCGTTTTTCTCAAAACTATACTTTTCATGTTACACGATTTCATTATTCCAGCGACGATATTATCCAGCAAGCAAGAGAAATTGTCGAAGCGAGATTTTTATTGAAATTACCATAAATTTGAAAAATCTCGTATTACATACATTTAATTGGAAGAGTATTTTCATCATTTTCTTCTTTTTTCTTGCCTTTATTGCTTGTACAGTGAAGAGGAACTCCCACGACATTTATTTTTATGCATCCTTATTAGCTCATGAAGACATCTGATATTTTTATATTAACGCATTTTGTATTGCTTGAAGGACATATGTACGTATGTAGACATATCTATGTTAAGCAAATTATAAATAAGGAATGACTTTCTTTGGGACTGTGTAAGCACAAATGTAACTTGAACTTTTAGCTTCTTAGATCTATGCATAAAATATAACTCATACGCCGTGGTAGCAATTTCGCTAAAATCAGAGGAAGGGAATTCACTAAGTCAGCTTAAATTTATAACTAACTAAATTAAATATATGTAAAGTTTAACGATGCTACTTCAATCAAATTATAAGTAGTGACATAATTTTTGGTATCATTGGCTAGTTAGTATTTAGTACTAGTACTTATTGTACATACACAACTATTGCAAGCAGGCATACAAAGTAGAAAAAAAACTAAGAAAAATCCAAAGGAATAAGTTTGAAATACATTCAAAAAATATGTATGTGTCTATGTGCGTGCGCTCGTTTCAAAGTTTAGCTGCTAGAAATATTTTACCGGAAGTGCTGTCTGGACGATCTCTCAAATCTTGTAGTTCACGCAAAGCTTTGATTTCATCGAGAGAGGAGCGTCCACTTGCTGCGTATTGCCATTAAGGTATTCCAGGCGTTTATATTTTCAAAAAATATTTGTTAGGTTTTTATGGGATTGAAGGTAGAAATAAATAGTTACGATTATATTTGTACATGGTTAGGTATAACAAAAATCAGACATTGGATTGGCATTGGATTAGGCGCAGTAAAACAGAAAGACAATTTTTTCAACCAAAGTAAATATTTCTTTTTCAATTCTTACAACTTGTTGGTTAAACGCAATTAGGTACTTTACTTTTCTCAAGCGTTTTTAATAAAGGTATAATTATTTAAAGCTTTACATTGGATTTAGTACTGGTTACAGGTTTTGAATACAATCAAAATTTTAATAATTCAAATAATTAAATAAAAAACGCGAAAAATCATAACATACCCTGACGTCCATAGTAAGACGCATCGCCGTAGAAACTGCGCGAATCCATGCCAGGCTCACCTTTCGGCCCGGTTATCGACAAACCGGGCATGCCTGGTTGACCTGGAGGGCCAGGCGGTCCTGGTGGGCCAGGCATTGGTATATATTGTACACCTTCACCGGCTGCTGCTGGTAGTCCCGGAGGACCGGGAATACCATCACGTCCATCTTGTCCACGATCACCTTTATCACCTTTGGGCTGTTGAGAGCAAAAAAGTGTGAAAGAAGAAATAAGCGAATTTATAAAATGTGGCTGATTGAAATGAGTTCTTTCAAAAGCTTAAAGACTAATTTGTACACATATATCATAAACATTTTTTCTTTTGTACTAAAACTACATATTTCGTTATCTAAAACTGCTTCAGAATTTAAAATTTTTAATGTCTCATTTTTAACTGTGAAGATATTTAACATAGTGGTAGGCCACTTACAGTGGCAGTCAAAAATATTTTTGCTTATTTTTATGTACAGTGGCGGTCAAAAATGGATGAATGTTGTTTTCTTTTTAATATTTACAATGTTTTTCAATCTTAAATTTTTTTAAATATTTTCCTATAAAAATACGATTCATGCTTTAACGAAAACTGTATAAATCACACTTTCAAACTTTATACAGAACTTAACAAAATTCTACAAATTTTTATGTAAATTTCGAGCTTTTCAACTAGAATTTTTAGAAATTTTTTGGGTATGCAGTTAACATGCTTATAAAATTCTAGTGAAACAAGTGCAAGTTCTGAGTGTTGACAGCGTTTTGTATGCTTTTCCACATAAACATGAATTTCTTATGGAAGAATATGCGTAAGACCGTTTGCAAAAACAAAAATAAATAAGTCAAAGCCCGTTTTCTTAAATTTCGCTATTCATACGAAGAAACCGTAAAAGCTGTCTCAAAAAAAAAAAAAAATATTTAACATCAATGCGATTTTTTAGCCATTCAAAACTTGCATTTATTTTACTAGAATTTTATAAGCTTGTTAACTGCCCAAACAATTTCTACAAATTCTAGTTAAAAAGCTCGAAATTTAGATACAAATTTGTGAATTTTTTTAAAGTTCTGTATAAAGTTTGAAAGTGTGATGCATATACTTTTTGTTAAAGCATGAATCACATTTTTATAAAAAATATCAAAAAAATTTTAGCTTAAAAAATTATGTAAATATTAAAAACGAGACACCATTCATCCATTTTTGACCGCCACTGTACAAAAAAATAAGTGAGTCAAGCGCGTTTTATTGATTTTCCAAATACTGAGAGTTCCTTAATAAATAAAGGTTACTTTAGGTTAGATTATCGCGGTCGTCTATAAGACTTATTTAGATCAAGGCCCATTGTGATGTCGCATGCGGGGGCAGAAACTCCCAACCCTTAAAACCATTTTAAATTTTTCGGGACATTTAGAAGATCCCTAATTTCCACGTATCTAAGTTCCTCCAAGTTATCGAGTTACCCAGAGAGTATAGTCGTCATCTGGATAGTGTTCCTCCAAGTTATCAAAAGATTGTCTACCCAGAATGGAGAGTCTTCGTGCTTTCCTCCTCTTCTTCATCTTGACAACTACAGAAGTCATGTAATCGTAGGTCAAGTCGGTAGGCATGCTTGCCAGTCAGGCAGTGTCTTGTTACAACAGATACTAACAAACCGAAATTATGCTTATTTAGGCTAAGTGGTAAGGAAGTTGGTTTAGCGCTGAGTACCGACAACGATTTCTTGGCAGTTTTGTAAGTGATTTCTTCATGCCATCTGTCGTTCGCTATATTAGTAAGCCTCTCGGAGTAGCTTCCAAGCTTGTAAGCGTATTCCTACTTCATCGTTTAAATCTTCGGAGGAAGTTTATTGCCACAATTATTAACACTCTTCATACCGTGATAGAAACTTGGCCTAACCATCGCAATGTATAGCCAGTGTATTACTTTGGATGCCATCCCGAATCCTTTTCCTATTGATCTGCTGCAGGAATGTAATGCTACTGTTGCTTTGCGCGCTCTATCTGCAATGTTGGGTCCCCAGTTTATTTTCTTGTCCAGTTTGAGGTCTAGATATTTGGTCTTTTCATTTACTGCAAGGAATTATAAGATCGAAATCAGGTACCCTGAGCTTCCTAGTGAGGAGCACTAGGTCCATATTTTCAGTAAGTACACTAGGGTGGTGCAAAATAAGGATAATTCTATATCGAAAAAAATCCTACTTTTTTATTTTGAAATCAAAAAATTTTTAGACGTCGCTCAAGGCGCTCAAATTTTTCTATGTATTTTATATGCTACAGAACAAGTTTACGTAGAAATGGTATAGAATTCTTGAACATCAATATTTTTTATCGGAAAGCTCTGGTTCTCTACAGCAGACTTCCAATAACAATATCCATTGGTTTAGTTAACCATTTTTTAATACTAAAGATTTTTTGTTTAACGCCCCATTGCATTTTCTGGAATTTTCTGGGGGTTTTGAAAAAAGGGTTAAAAAATAATTGCGAATTATTGTTGGGAATCTCCTTAAGATTTTAAAAAATTATGTACCGTTTCTACGAAAAGTTGTTTTTTCCCATATAAAATATACGGAAAAGTTTGAGCACTTTGAGCGTCCTCTAAATATTTTTTGAATTCAAAATAAAAAAATAGGCGTATATATTTTTTCGGTATGGAACAACCCCAGGGGATTAGAGCATACAAATTCTTAGTATACGTTTTCACACGCATTTTTGAACCACACTAATGCACACCCAGTCCTCCCCTTTGCTCAAATACGGATAGAGCGTTGAGGGATCGTTGAATGTTGAAAGCTGATATAGCTATCATTTTACCCTAAATGTATGATCAGTGGTAAAGTCTGAAATGTATTGCTACAAGTAATTTTTAGCAAAAAAACCAACTTAAAAAAATATATATATATCTATATATTTCATGATCCAATGATCGGATCAAAACCAATTTAGTATGGGACCACCTCTGAGAGACTACCTTTCCGCTGCAAAAAGAATTATTGAAATCGGTTGACGTGGTGCAAAGTTATGCGGTGACATACATAAAAAAAAAAAAACATATTCCGACGAACTGATAACCTCCTCCTTTTTTGGAAGTCGGTTAAAAAGAACGCCGATTGCCATAGCGGTGATTGATTGAATTTTTTAAAATGGGTTTTTCATCTACAGGTAAGTTCTACATAAAGTATAATTTAATTTTTTTTAATTGTCAGTACCTAATAAAACCGGACACATTTTAGCAACTTGCCGGTAAATATACATGAATGACTCTGTTATTTTGCTATCTTAAAGGCATCAGTTTCTTTTTTTTACTTTCTACAAAAATAATGCTAAATATGATAAAGTTATTTTTTTTATTAAACTCAAATGACATATTTAAGTTTTATAGTTTAAGAGTCAGTGATAAGCAGGTAATGGATTTCATGAAAATTGCCTTTCTTGCTGCTAAAGAGATAGAGAATATTGAATTAAGAATGTCCACGATTTAGCTTTCCTGGATTCCATATAAACACATTTGATATTGCATGTTTGCCTTTTTTTTGCCTTTTCTACCTTTAATTGTAAAGGACAAGGAAAATGTCCTTATTCGTGATAGTATGAAAGTTTTAAACGTTCCATATTTGAATTTGGCGCCAAATGTATCAACTCAAGTTAAGGCTTTTCTTCGCGCAAATGGAATGAAAATGCTGAGAGAAATCTTCAAAATGCATCTTGTGATTGTGATTTCTAGTGCCTATTTCTCCCTAATTCGCTATTTGATTTCGCCCTCTCTACAGGGACCGAACATAACAGTTATTGATGAAATTTGTCATTAAAAAATTCACTATGAAGGATATGCTCTACAACTAAGTGATACATAGCAATCGGTTTCTTTTTTCACCGGGCATCAAGTTTGAAAATAAATTTTTACTTGTAATTTTTATGCAGAATTAAAAAAATAATAACAATTATTTTTGATTTTTATCTAAATAATCTGCAAATCGAAGTTATGTTTGATTTTTATATTATATGTCTAAGAAAACAGTTATCGAAGACTTTTATTTATAAAAGTCGTCAATAAAATTCGGTCAGTGAATTTTACTTTTAAAAGTCACCAATATAAATCAGTCACCGACTTTTATTATTTAAGTCATACGTATAAAAATCATTATAATTTTTCGCAAAATGATTTGAAAAATAAAACTCAATGACTGATTTAGATTGATGACTTTTAAAAGTAAAAATCACTGACTGATTTTTATATATTACTTTTATAAATAAAAGTCTTCAATAACTGTTATCCAAGACATTTAATTTAAAAATCAAAAATAACTGTTATTTGTAGATTATTTAGATAAAAATCAAAAAGAATTGTTATTTTGGATTTTTAAATAAAAATCAGAAATAACTGTTATTAATGGAGTAATTGAATAAAAGTAAAAAAATAACTGTTGAAGAGCGATTTTTTTAATAACAGTTGTAACTGTTTATTATTTGATTTTGCATTTTTTATAGGTTTTAGGTCGTAAAAATCCGTTCCCTGATCATAAGTAATTAAATTATATTTCGAAAGTTCATTTCCCTTCGATCTGGCATCCTTTATTTATTGTTATTTAGTATAACGATTTAAATGATGGCCAGTGAGTCGAGAGTGAAATACAACTTAATTTAAGTATCATAAAAACTAAACTTCACAATCGCGCTTAAAGAAGCTGTAACGCTTAATTTTATGCAGCATAAATTTGGATTTTATGCTAACACTCAGCCAAGCGCTTTTGCCAACGTCCACTTTTTTAATGCTAAACTAGATATGTATACTTGATTGTGAAGACCAAACAAGAAAATACATGTTTTGTATGAGAGGCTGTCTATGCCGTTTTCCTGCTTTTTGGTATGACAACACTTTTATGAAGATTATTTTATGGAGTGACGCAATGTTAATGTCATTTGCACCAAATCATTGCTGTTGATGTTGCTAACAATGTTTTGCTGGCTGCTTTAATATACTTCCGTTTACCGTTTGAGTTTGACTCTGCATTGTTGGTTGGCAGTTAGACAAACTTAAGCACTCACTTCTACAAATACACAGACGTTTAAATGGCCCATATTTGTGTAGAATTGGTTACGCACACACACACACAATTGCCATCAACATTGTCTGTTACAAACTAATTGACAATAATAATGGGCCAAGTTAGTGGCTCTACTGTGACCTATGAATGTAAGTATGTATCTACGAG